TTTGTAATGTTTGGCTAATGCCATTGAGTGGATTCATGTTGGAGGAAACCGGAATACCCAGAATAACCCACCATGCGTACGGATGGGGTGGTAACACTCAAGACGACTTGACAACATCGCACCCACGCACCGACAACACCCAGTGGCCACCCATAAAAAATATATTAACCAGGCTCCAACCAGCTTAGAGATCTGGCGAGATCAAGCACATTTAAGGTGATTTGGTCATAGTCAATTGCTGCCGTGCTGCCCAGTGTTATTGGCAAGAGCTATCCACTTAAGAAATGGGGTCCGTTGAATTCAAAATCGCAACATTGTAAAACTCCATCACGCTGTATTCCGATAACAGTGATTGCAGTTTGCCTGATTGGCTCTGCCATTATTGACAACACGTAAGCCCTTATGTAACTGTCTGTGCCTTAATGCGTAAGTTGCTTACGACAGTAGCAGTATTACTGTCAAACGACATACAGATCAGCTCAATGCCCTGCATTATTTTTATTTGACTTTTCGAATTTCGCTCATCATGCTGTCATCATCATTATCATCATCAGCCAGTCAGTCCACTGCTGGATGAAGGCCTCTTCAAGCTCGTGTCATCTCGCTCTGCGATGAAATAATCCTGCACACAAGCTGATTACATCGCTCCATCTCCTTTGGAGGACGATCTCTCAAAGACGCACCATTCTTAGGTGACCACTCCAGTTGTTTTTCCAGGTCTCCCTTTAAAAAGAGATGCGCTCTCAATGGGCTTTGGTCTGATTATTATCGGATGGGAATAAATAAACGCATGTCTATTTTGTGTATGTCCGTTTCGAAGCAGTGGGCCATGACTGCTATGGTACGTACCATCCAAATTGAGTAATCTGTGAGTACTTTTTTCACATTCGGACAATGACGCCGGCACACAATCGCCTTCTCTTGTGAATGACGTCACGGAATCTTTAAAGTCTACTGTGAAGATTTTCATATGTTTAAGGTTAGTACACCTGCAGTATTTATTCGGGCAACCGCTGGAATGGAACCGTGAACCTCTGCAACACGTGGCGAACGTGATATCGAATGAATGGATATTCTGTATACATACGTACTATGTATTCTGTATGCACGTAAACATGTAGCATATGGGCCAGGGTTTCCAAACCTCCTGTCCTGGCATCCCACGAGGCTACGCCTTTTAACATTGACCATTTATTTTATTTGAAACCGTTACAGACTGCACATGGCTGATTATTGCTAATCACATCTCACTTGACATAGCACCCATCCGAAATAAGAGAGAAATCGTGTGTGTGTACATGCGTGTCTGGCGTGACATGGAGGACGATTTAATTGTAACCGAAGCCCTCAAGGTCACGAGGGGCGTGTTTGACAATCATCAGGCGCGTGGAGTGTGCAACTAATAAATTTGCATATGAACTGAGGATATCGTGTCTCGCCTGCACTGGAGTTTGGTAAACTCCTGCAATGGGCTAATCGTAAAAGTTAAAGGTGCGGTCCTGCAATTACAGTATTGCACTGACACTACTGATGGCAGAAGGGCTCTCTAGTGAGCTCCCCCCTCCTCGAGACAATTTAGCCTCATCTCTTTCACGCCGACCGAACGTCTTATAAGAGGTGGGAGTGCCCACACTTCATTTGAATTTGCACTTTTATTGAGGGACTGTACGCTGTTTTGGTGTGGTCTGGAACTGGTTTTGTTTTGCTGCCTTGCCCAAGCTTGCATTTAGTCTTGAAACATCGCCGGGAATTTATTACGTACTTATTAAATTTGTACTTTCATATTAAAATCATTGGTCATTATTTAGTTTTTTTTTATATGTTTACCTTGATTTGAAGCTCTCGTGACTGCAGGGATTCATATCCATGGTTCTTTCGGTAAAGTCACGTAAGAACCAAGAATATGTTTACCTTGTTTTCTATTTTGCACTCTTACCCTTTGTTTTCATTCCTTGTTGTTGTAACTTTGTTGACCCGACCCTACTGGACACCTGTGAAAAAGAGCTTCATAGCTCATCGGATTCCTCCAGTCTGAAGAATCTGATTAAATGTGGTGTTACCCATTTATACTGCTGGGTCGATGGGGGCCAACGGGGGGGGGGGATTTAAGAAACGAGCACTATTGTTTCAAGAAGTGCCGTGCCAGTAGATGCAACCAGCGACATCTGGATTGCAAGTGCAGCATGTTAAACACTCCCATCACGACAGGATCATCGTAATCTATGCAGTGCGTGGAGGACGACGTAAGAGTCCAACCTCCAATTAAGCATTGCAGATTCCGCAATTAAGAAACCGTCCGCTCAAGGCGAGAAGAGCCGGTGTCTTACCTTCCTCGCTAATTAATTATCGCAATGAGCACTTTCGCCCATTCAGACGTATTCGGATTTTTTTAATTGGGCGGGGCTGCGATGACCCTTGGGTGGAGCGGTGGCGCAGTGGTTAGCGCAAAGGGGCAACGATCCCACCAGGGTTCGACAGTTCGATCCGCGGCCGCGACTGACACACCAACAGCAGTATGGCACATCGCCCGATGATGCTGGATGTAATTACCAGCGAAACGTCGGACGACTCAAATTGTAAATGTCGATTTGCTCTCCAGCATACCGGTGGGCTGAAGTAGTAACTAATTGGTGCGTTTCGTTTACGTGGCAAATCCCTTACTAGTTGGCTGTGTCGGCTGGTGGAGGGTTACGACGCATTTATACTTACGTGATCTAGCGTACTACGTGTTAAACTAACAGCAGTGGTCCAGCACTGATGTGTGAACCAACAAGCGATGACCGGCGCAGTGAAGTATGGTCAACCAACCGATCCGCATGGCGTGACCGTCACAGCATGCATGGGGAAAATCATCCACGCGTTCAGAAGTTTAATTGACGGACATCTCTCTGAATTCCCTATCGTCATTACCATCGGCGGCCATGATCTATCCACTGCTTCTGGATGATATTGAGGCATATCCGAGAGCCATCAGCCATCTGCCATCAAGGTCCTGTGCGATAACCTGGCCGACGACGATATCATCACTCCGTCTCCACGTTGGACGTTCTTTTTATTTTCTTCCTGGGCGCGTTTCCCTCCGTTGGCTGCCAATCCGTAGTTAGTCTCGACCACACGGGGCCACCACCACCACCAACCAACCACCACCAACCAACCACCACCAACCAACCACCACCAACCAACCACCACCAACCAACCAACCACCACCAACCAACCACCACCAACCAACCACCACCACCAACCACCACCACCAACCAACCACCGACCAACCACAACCAACCACCAACCAACCACCACCAACCAACCACCACCACCAACCAACCACCACCACCAACCAACCACCACAACCACCACCACCACCAACCACCACAACCACCACCACCACCAACCACCACCACCAACCACCACAACCACCCACCACCACCAACCACCACCAACGAACCACCACAACCACCACCAACCAACCACCACCACCAACCAACCACCACAACCACCACCACCCAACCAACACCACCACCATCACCACCAACCACCACCACCAACCACCACCACCAATCACCACCACCACCCAACCACCACCACCCAACCACCACCACCAACCAACCACCACCAACCAACCACCACCAACCACCACCACCAACCAACCACCACCACCACCACCAACCACCACCACCACCAACCAACCACCACCACCACCACCAACCACCACCACGCACCAACCACCACCAACCAACACCACCAACACCACCAAACAACCACCACCAACCACCACCAACCAACCAACCACCACCACCACCCACCACCACCAACCAACCACCAACTAACCAACCACCACCACCAACCACCACCAACCAACCACCACCACCAACCACCACCACCAACCACCACCACCAACCAACCACCACCACCACCACCAACCACCACCACCAACCAACCACCACCAACCAACCACCACCACCCACCAACCACCACCACCAACCAACCACCACCACCCACCACCACCAACCAACCACCACCACCAACTAACCAACCACCACCACCACCAACCACCACCAACCAACCACCACCACCAACCACCACCACCAACCAACCACCACCACCCACCAACCACCACCCACCAACCACCACCAACCAACCACCACCAACCAACCACCACCAACCAACCACCACCACCAACCACCACCACCAACCACCACCCACCAACCACCACTCACCAACCACCACCAACCAACCACCACCAACCAACCACCACCAACCACCACCCACCAACCACCACCACCCACCAACCACCACCACCACCAACCACCACCACCAACCACCCACCACAACCAACCACCAACCCCCACCACCCAACACCACCAACCAACAACACCAACCACCAACCACCACCACCAACCAACCACCACCAACCAACCACCACCACCAACCACCACCAACCAACCACCACCACCAACCAACCACCACCACCAACCAACCACCACCACCAACCAACACCATCACCACCAACACCACCACCACCCACCAACCACCACCACCACCACCCACCACCAACCACCACCATCCCCTCGCGTGGCGCTGCAGTGGCTGCATTGTGCGTCACGCCATCCGCAGTGCTGATAGCGCGTCCAGCAGCAGCGGCGGCGACGGCGTCTCACCACTGCATTGCACACCACCACCCCCCACGTTTTATTCCATCACGTTTATTTATCTCTCCTTCGCTGTTGCATTTTAACCGACGTGGTTATCTTGTATACATCTTTTTTTTAACAATACACGCGTCGTTGGGTTCCGTGCTTTTGTTCGCGAGCGCCTATTAGTAACACGAATAAATACCAAAATAAAAATGTCAATCGCGCGTTACGGTGTATACGGTTTTGGCGGATGTTGTTAAATGGCAAGGCAACCGAGCACAATTGCTGTTGTATAATCGGACAAAATGATATTGTGGGGATTTTTTATGGGCGAGGAAAACATCAATCTGTAAGCGCACGCTGCCTTACCGGGAGGTACGTCACGTACCAACATTTGAGGTTGAGTCGACCTAGGGGGTGTCCGCGCTCCGATGATAACCGATGGTCATATTGTTGATGTTCACGGGGATCGTGGATAAAATATATTTTTTTTTTATCGCGGCTGACAAGTCTCTTCAGCGGCAGTGCTCGCGTGCCTAGACGACAAAGATCGTCATAATAATGTTTGAATCGTACACACGGGACAACGTTGTGTGCGGGGTGCCATCGGCGAGCGCCTATTAAGGGCAGTGCGATAGACAAAGAGGCGCCTCTGAACAGCACCACGCCCCGGGCCCCCATTTTTTTTCTTTGCCTTTTGTCTGCATAGCACACAGCGGCTAGCAAACAGCAACCACCATCAACAACATCACCACACCACGCATTCATTTGCAGGCCGAGTAGACCTAGGCGAGAGCCGGTTTGCAGATTGATGCAACCGCTGTTTGTCAGCTCGCGTCGCAACATTTCACCCCTCCCCTCCGTGCGTCCCCGCCTATCATCGCGTGTAGCAGCAGCAGCAGCAGCAATGGAAGCCAGGGGCTGGCCGGGGCTCGTGCTTGATAGCGCAGTGCGCTATTACATCGGCTCAAGCCTGCTCACGGCACCGGGGGGGTCAGGCTCCATCCACTGCACGGCCCCGCTAACAAAGAGCCGCGGTGGTGGATGGAGGTGGTGGCGGTGGAGATGGGGGGGGGCGGGGGCGGGGCGGTGATGACAAAAAAAACACCACGATTACATTTACCAGCGCGGATAAGCCGGGCCGCGCGCTCCCATTGGGCGAGGCGAGGCGCGCCAGCGGGCGGCGCTCATCGGCGCTGGGAAATGCAAATGCGCGTTGGCGGGTTGCCGCTGCGAATGCGGCGCGCGGAAGGACACAAGGCGGAGCGATACACCCCCCGCCCCCTGCACTCTCGCTCCCCCCCACCCACCACACACCACGCCTATGGCGCGAATAATAATAAATAGGCCGCTTCACCGCCGCGTGTGATCCGGTTGCCCGTGTGTTGGTGTGCGGCAAGCCGAAGCTGTCAAACCCCGCGCGAACGAACGGCACGAACGCGAAATGGTAGGTTGTCTTTTTGCCCTGTTTCGAGCTCGGCTCGTGTTAAACATTTTTTTTAAATGTGTATATATATTCGTACAATTTGTAATTTGAGGTAAACGCGTACACGTACGTTAGTTGGGTGTCGTTTTTTTGTGTGTGGTCTTAGGCGAATGTTTTGTAAAACGCGACAATTGAATAAGCGCGGGAGCGCATTGCCTGTGTAAAAAAGGTAAATGGTGGCGAGATGCATGTTGATGAATACGGACGGTTAAATGGGGGATCGGTTCTTTTAACGAATGCGACTAAATATTTAAGTGATGTTTCGTATTTAACGGGTTTTTTTTTTCTTCCTGACAAAGTGTAACCTTGTTGCGACATATGGCGGCGTTATTCGGATGTAATGTGCAGTATGATGTAATACGTGCTGGTGTATATATGTACACGCAATACGTGGGCATTGCTCATCCCCACGATCCACACGCTGATGTCTTTGCAATGCAGCAGTGGCCATAGCTGACGACACGGCGTGGTCACGCATTTTATTTGACATTATTTTGACGAGATATATATTTTATATTTGTGCTTGACGATTTTTTTTTTTACGTGGAAGATATCCGTGAAATGTATACGTACATTTTTGTTCAATTAATACAATTTCATTTGAAAGAAGCCTCGCTGGATTTTAATTTATTTTTCAAGGATGTCGTTTATTTCGTCTCATTTAAATGAATAAAACCCTTGCAACCTATCTATTTTAAGGCGGGCGGAGAGCCCATTCAGAAGTAACGGGTGTTTTTGTTGTTGTTGTTTACCAATTGTACATTTTTCTCACCACATTTGCCACGAATACCAAACGTTAATATATACCACAATAGAGTAGGCAAAATATGTGAAGGTTAATGCTTTGGCGGGTATAAACCATTATCGGTGACAACGTGGGACATTGGTAGCCAGTGTCTGTGCCTACATGAGCTATTGATGGATGACTGTGTATTGATTTTGTGTGGTTGGGTTGGGGAGGTTACGGTTTGCATGGTTTCTTTTGGATTGGCAAAAGGAATCCACTACATTTGCATTCATAATATTAATAATACATTTGCATTGTTAAACGGGGATGCTGCCGCCAGGTGTAATGGTGAACACCCTGGACTTGCTATGCAGAGGTCGCCGGTTTGATTTGACCTCCCAGCGCGGCAGCTGAAAAAAAATGTGCACGTTTATTCGAATCCCTTTCACCCTCTTGTCCATCCAGTCGTGTTTTTTATATAAATATCTATGGGTACACAACAGTTAGTCCCATCGACAAATCACGTGTGGGTGGGGTAGAGTGTGGGTACTCCCACCTATTGCAAGACGTCTGGGTCAGCGTGGAAGAGGAGACAAAATACCATCGAGATGACCTCTTTTGAGCTCCCTCTAGCGGAGGCCTTTCTGTCGGTAGTGGTCGTGATAAATACATTTTACCATTAGCATTGTAAACCGTCCATGTGAAACGGTGACCTGAGATATATACGTGTCAAAGGTTTTTAAATGCACCGATTGTAAAGCCGCTGTCCACTAACATTTTCTATTTCTATAAATTTTCAGGCAGACCAGCTTACAGAAGAGCAAATTGCGGGTAGGTGACATGTTCGCATGGTATGGATATTTTACAGCACAGAGTACATACATGCCATAAGTACAATCAGTAAAGACCACACATGCATTCTATGCGTTATTAAAATGCCTCAAGTTTGCACAGTAGTGAGCTAAGCTATTTAATTCCCTGAATGTTTTGTATTTTGCATGTGAAGCATGTGCGTGTTTGTGTACTGGTATAGAGTGGTGCCGTAGTGGCTTGCACACTGCCCTACCAATCCAGTGACCCTGCCATGGCCAACATTAGTGTGATGTGCTATTGAACTGGCCCGGGAACCCACCGAAGTCAACTCGGTGCAGTAGTCAACATCAGCACTTGGGAGACAATGGTGGTCGGGTGTGGTGCTGTCCAGACTACCTCCTAGTGTGGCATATCGGCCTTAATAGATGCTTGCCTGCAGCGCTTGCCCCAACTGTCTATATAGGCTATACGGTTGATAATTCTCTCATTTTCCCTGCAGAGTTCAAGGAGGCGTTCTCCCTTTTTGACAAGGATGGCGACGGTACCATCACTGTCAAGGAGCTGGGCACCGTCATGAGGTCTCTGGGCCAAAATCCCACCGAGGCTGAGCTGCAGGACATGATCAATGAGGTGGATGCCGATGGTATGTTCAAAGACCTGTCAAGTATCACGAGTCGTCTATTTTTTTCTGTTTCTCACCCTAAGGTAGCTTGCCATCAGCAAACATAAGAATGCCATAGGGTAGAAAGTTGAACTTTTATCTTCTGTTGATTGCCTGGCATAGGTGTGGCCTTTTTTGTAATGAAAACCATTTGTTGGAAGTAACCAGCCATTTGTGCTGCATGATCTCCTAACATAGATCTATTTACAAAGAAGTCAAAACATTTGCACCATTTATTTTTCCCTAACTTTAATTCTTTATCCCTTTATGTTTTCAGGAAATGGAACCATTGATTTCCCCGAGTTTCTGACAATGATGGCGAGAAAAATGAAAGACACCGATAGTGAGGAAGAGATACGAGAAGCTTTCCGAGTGTTTGACAAGGTGAGATGAGTAACTTGAGCTTTTTTAGAACCAGTGGTAAAAACAACAAATGTACCGACTGATTTTTGTGATTCATTCATAAATTGTACCTTTTGATGCAATTGCATTGAGATGCTTTATACATCTGAATTGTATTGCATGCCAATTTGTGCCTTGTGGCAGTTTGTCCCACAAACCCACGTGGGTTAGGAAAAAGCATTTTTACACCGCAGTGTTCAAGTTCAGACCATAAAAAAACCACAATGGCTTTTATTGTTAATGATGTCACATGGTCTTAATTAGTTGATTTGAAGTAGTAGGCAAGCAGCTTGCATATGAAGCCTTACCATTACCAGATTAAGTTTTGGTTCAATAGCTGAACCCACGCAGTCTTCCACCATCTGTTGCAGGCATGAAACACCGTTTTGTTATGCAATCATGTTTAATTGATTAAAAAATATATATTTTTGCATTTACACAGGATGGGAATGGCTACATCAGTGCGGCAGAGCTGCGTCACGTCATGACGAACCTGGGGGAGAAGCTCACGGACGAGGAGGTGGACGAGATGATACGAGAGGCTGACATCGATGGAGACGGACAAGTCAACTATGAAGGTACATTAATTTTGTTGGTGCTGTGTTAAATGGAAGATTATTTACGCAAAGTATCTTATGTTGTGACAAGCAGATATAATGGAGCAGGGAAGTGAGCTAATTGTAAAACGCTCTGACTGTCGTGGCATTGGGCATCCACGATGCTTTGAGAAAATAATTTGTAAATCCAGGCTTATTTCAATCACCATTCAAGGCATTTTTATATTTTAAAAATGTTAGTCCAATATAATCAATTCATCTCACACAGTTCAGCCTGATTTTGAACACATGCATGTTGAAGGTATATTTGTTCACGCAACAATTTATACCTTTCAAAATGTGGTTAAAATTTAGGCATGTGATTGGAATTTATTCAGTAGCAACAATTCATTCAGTAGCAACCAGATTACATGAACCTGATGAGCCACATGAAACATTTCCTCTTTTGCAAGGGAAACCTGGGTAATGGTACTCAACAGTGGTTTACCCCAATAGAAAATTCAGTGACGCTAACCCATCTTAATTTCTATGCACAAATTAGCCCCAGTAATAAACTACGGTAACATACAAAAGTACTTTGCAATTTTTTGTGTGAAAAAAAACTTACATTGTGTATTTTGTTGTTTTACAGAATTTGTCCAAATGATGACAGCAAAGTGAATGTGAAAGGCGTTCAACCAAACGATGAAGAACAAATTGCTATTTTTAGGACATACTTGAGGAAAAAACTCAAATCTTGACGTATGTTTCCGTGTGTCGCCCACTACTCATTAAAGAGGAACAAGTTACTGGAATGCTGTCTACAGAAAATGTTATACATGTCTATAATGGATTTACAGCTGTAATCAGCTAACAGCCATCAGTATCTTTATTCCATTTTAATTATTTAATATGCATGAAAATAGCTTAAATAAGCAAAAGTGTAGTTTGATAATAGAGTGGTGGCATTGGCCGAGACATGTACATATATTGTATGTTGGAATGAATTCATAGGAGACTGTTAATTTTATTGCCAATTTGTCAAGTTTCAAGTTTCTCTGCATCCTATACAGATGTTACTGCTTTGCACTATGGTATATTTTAAGTGCTTGTGGGGTTTGTCTTTGCCAAAGTGTTTGGGTTAATTTGTTTCGCAGACTAGCTTTTTAGACAACCAAAGCCCAGTTATTCTGTGATTCATATAGCGCAAACTCAATGTTTGCTATTGTGTTATCTGAAGACCTCGGCCAGGCATGTTAACGACAAACCTGCATACACATTCTGGTTTGCTAAAACTCCCAATGTCATTTAAAGTAAACATCAATTTACTGTAACGTGACGATTGGTTAATTCTGCTTAGTTACAACAATCATACACCAATATCTACAATTGTTTTAATTTTTTCTATTTTTCTTTTTAAATGTTGCATGGGACTTGGTGAATCTATCTACGGTAGTGTTTAACTTATAAATAAACGCATGGAGGCGGTGAAAAGGTCGTGCTGTCTGGAGTGCATTTATGCCTGAACTAATAAGCTGCTGTGCAATATGATTTACATTGAGCTGATCAAATGATAGGGAAAATGCTTGAAAATTTTGATGAATGGGTAAAAAAATGAGCCCAAGTGCATATAAATGGTGCAGCCCAGAAATTTATTGATCATACTACTGTTGGTGGAAGGGCCCTCCCACTTGAGGGAGATCAAAAGAACCCCTCAAAATGGTATTTGGCCGATTCTTCCATGCTGGCCAAACATAGTAGAAGAGATGGGAGTACCCGCACTTTATTTTACTACACACGACCTGCCCATAGACTAATTGTGGTTGCACACATTTTTACTGCTGGGTGGACAGAGGCAGGGTAATGTAATAAATGTGCCCATTCCAACTCATGTGCTGGGAAATTGAATCAAACTCTAGAATGCAAATCTAGTGTGATAATCGTTACACCAGAGCAGCATCTCCATGTATGCGTCTCGGCTCCATAGGACAGCCCAAACAGTGCTGGATGAGTGGCCATCATGCACTGTCAGGAGAAAACTAGCAAAATCCATTGTTCCAATGTCTATGCCCACCAACCTTGACTAATGAATGTTGAAATAAACCCGACAACCTGGATAACACTGAGGCCCTCATCCAGCAGTGGATTAACAAATGGGCTATACATGTGTATATATTGCATGTACAGTACATGGAATAGGACTTATTAATCTCTACCCAGGTGAAAGCTCTCGGCTCGATATGAGATGCATGTATAATAAAAAAATCACAAATATAATTAAAACATCTAATCATTACAATAAAATAGTATTTACATCAATAACCACATTCACGCAGTGGTGCAATTTACCTTCTGGTATTTTTTATTTTAAAAAGGAACATTACATTCATGTTGTTTTGGTCAAACATGGCCATGCATTTTCTGATTTTCCTGAGGTCCGAAAGGTTTCACCAAAATAGGCCCATCTTCAAATTTCAGCAAACCTTTTTTATGCACAATTCAAAACATCGGCTTAAAAATATTTACTAAAAAATATATAAGTGAACAGTATTTTTTATTTTAAATATTGATATTCACTGCAGAAATCCTATTTTCACGTCACTTTTATAGATATTCACATCTGGTTTATTATACATAATTCAGTTATGAATCTGCTGCTTGATAAATGCCTCGTGGTCATGGGAATACTTGACTATACTTCACCACGCTAGTCAGTGTGGGTATGTGGCAAGCCAAATTAAACTACAAATCCACCAGGCCTGGACTGCCAACCGTCAAAACAATGAAATTAAGTGATGAAAACTATTTGTGAAAACACCAATATACAAATGAGTTTACCAGTGAATAAAGATGAAAACCATATTTTGGTTGAGAGGCTGGAAGCGCGTCCATGTCTGCGGGAAAGTTTTTTTTACGCCCTGGTTGAAGGGGCAGGGAAACCAGGGCCAGATTTCACCACTGGTGTTAGCCATACCCAGGAATCGAACTCTGGTGACTGGGTTCGTAGTGCAGGGGACCAACTTTTGCACCACTTTTCATAAAAGTGGATTTATCGGTCAGGTAAAGTAGCACTGCCCACGAATGTTCGCGGGATACACGACCACACGAACCCTGCTCAACGCTCTGGAATGCGAGTGACATCACGCAGACGTGCGTGGTGACGTCACCACCGCGCACTTGACCGGCAGTACACCAGCGAGCAAAATTTATTTTTAAGTATCGTATGTTTTGGGCATATATTGAATATGTATTTTTTTTTACATTTCCAAAATGTAAAACTAGGCAAGCCAATTATCTGATATGACAGTTTCATATTTCTAGCAAATATATTACTTTTTATATACTGCACTCAGCAGCAAACATGAAATCAGTATTTTTACAGTCGCAATATATCAACACGTATACTAAATTTTACAAGTTAATATGATACAGGCTGATCGTACATGTTTAAAAAAAAAACGTTAAACATGTACGTTTCTCATCTTCAACACAATGTTATCATGAGCTATCCACTGATGTATGAAGGACTATCCAAGTGGTTGTCATCTCTCATGGCCTTGTGATACAATACATTTAGTGCTTACAAGAGCTGATTTCATGACTCTATCTCTGCAGTCAATAACCACAGCCACGTTCCTTCCTTTGGCTGCCACTCCCATCAGTATTCTCGACCATTATTCTAGTTGCGTCTTGCCCAAGCCTATTTAAATGTCTCCGTTTGTTCTCTAATCCAGGTTCCTTTCCTCCCCGTATAATTCCAAGCATGTACCTTTCCATGCTGATTTGTCCACTTCATATTTTTCATACAGTATTATCAATGTCCATGACACGTTACGCCAAAGCTAATTAAACATGTTCTTCTTGGGAACATCGCCGAGTTGATTCATAATTGATTGTTAGGTTAGGCCACGTAATCATCTGACAATGTCATTAAACAACCGCTCACCACCGGGCATAATTCAAAATTGTCACGTGCACAACTGTTTATCGCATCCGTTATTTTGTCAGCTCACCGTTAAAATGAACAATCCTCACAACCAAATTTCGTAATTAAATATAACGTTTCATATGCAACAACATCAAACATAAGGACAATATCCCAAAAGTCAGAGTAACAATCCAGGTAATCAGAATTACTGTTAACTGATGCAGATTTCTTGCCATGTTTTTCATTAAGAGTTCAATTTTACAAAGCACCCCAACCTGTTTTCAAGAACTTCTTTATTTAAATAATTTGTATTCGAGACTACCTTCAATATCCTATCCTAGATACCTGTAGTCTGATGTACATTCCAGTTATGTCCCTTCTGATAGATATCTTCAATTAAGGTGAACTTTTTGGATGACTCGTGTTGCTTATATTTATCTCGAGTCCTACTTGCAGCCTTTATTAACGCCTTCCATCATTTCCTGCAGTTCATTTTCCATCAGTTGCTATATTGACTGTCATCAACAAATAAGTAACGGTTAATATATATTTTTTTACATTTATACTTATGCCATTATTTCTCCACCAATACAATTTTGGAAGACATCTTCCATCACGCACAGATGCAGAAAACACGCTGGGTCTGCAAATTAAGTCTCGCACTTCTCATTTTTGAGGAAATGCAATTTTTACAAGTATACCATTACTACTAATAGCACTTGATACTCCTGTGAAACATTATAACAGTTATGCAATAGCAAGGTACATGCTCGTGCTATGAAAGGATAGTGACTACGAGAAGAAAATGTTCTATGCATGCGAAGGAGATTGCCTTTTTGAGAATTCAGTTAGGTAAAGCAAATCAGTGTGCAAGCATGGCAGTGCAAAAAACAACCCCTTTGTACAACTTTAACACACATGGCACCTAACAGAATTGCATTTATGCCTGCATCACCAAGTAAGCAATACACTTTTAATATTTCTTTAATCATACATTCTGGGGGACGGTGTGTTTCTAAAACCCTGGAGGTTTCCATTGTATCTGCTGAAGAACCTTCTGCTCTTCATAACAGACAATGCTGTCCCCGATTTGAAAGTCGGCATCATCATCATCCATCATCACGCCACACTCCATGCCCGTCTTCACCTCCTGCACGTCATCCTTGTGGTGCTTAAGTGATGACAACTTCCCTGAGAAGGCAAACGGGCAAACAATTGTGAATGACTTTCAAACTTTTGTGAGAAAAATATAATTTGTAAGGAAATGCTGCGAAATAGCCAGCAGATGGCAATACAGCACCAGATTCTTAGATTTAAACTGTGTGGATGTTTGGGTATCACCCCCTCGTATATATAGGTTTTCTCTAGATACCCTGGTTTCCTTCCACTTGTCAAATAGTCATTAACGGTATTGGTCAAATATCCCAATGCAAGACCCTACTGAAAGAGACTGGAAACTCAGTGAGGCCTTCCTAGGCAAGAAATGGCATCATTTGGTTTAAACTTCTAATTAGGAGAGTGGTTGGGAGTGTCCAATTAATCTTTGTGATTAATAACTAAAGTCAAGAAATTGGGTTTGCTGTGGAGGATGGAGGGAAGGTTTAAAAGCAGGGGGAGATGGGGAAGTGAGGAGGCATGGATGAGTTGGACGAGTTTTGGCCCATTATGGCAGAACACATTTTCACGCGACAGCATGTGAAATTGACGAGTTCATATATGAGGTATAGTGCTTTATATTAACCAGCATATATGCATTTAAGAGTGCACCCAATGCTTTATTTACCTTGCCAAATAGTATCGTAGTTGTTGCGGACGATCTTGAAATTAAAATTTCGATCAAATCGGCCCTTCTTAATGCGGCAGCCTGCCACTGGAACTTGATTCTTGCCCACAGTGACATCGAACTTGGCCAAGACAGTGGCGCTGCCTGTGCGCAAAAAATGCATTACACACACGGTGAGCGAGAACCATACGTTAGTCCAGTCCGACTTGTGATGCTATCCTTACAAAACTAGAAATTAAACACCAGGACTTCAGTTGACATGCAGAGGCCACCCACCTACTACTACCTCCTCAGTCAACAGCGGCAGCTTGCTGTTCAGTTCGGCTTTCAGGTCATCCACCAGCCTGTAAATTATTTTGTGGAGTTTGACGGGTACGTTCTTCTTTTCAGCCAGCTGCATAACCACTTTGTTGGCATTCACGCCAAACCCGTACACCGTCCCTGCGCACATTAAATCACACCGCATCGTCACTTACGCGAGATAACTGCATCGTAAAGCCATTCTTGCCAAAAGGTGGTGCCACAAAACAAGGTGGCCACGTGGCTCAAAGGTTAGAGCACTGATCTGGCACCAATGACATCCTGGGTTCGAATCCAGTCAGCTTGAATCGAATCGTGAACTCCTGTCACATCAATTCATCAAATCAATGGGAAGGGGGGTGGTGGTTATGCCCACGTCGTTAATTGAGAGTTAACCGGAGTCGCATGCCTTATGACACCAAACAGTGATGCCATCACACCCCGCTATTTAAAGAACGAAACAGGAGATTTCTCATACTCTTTGTT